TTATTAATGTCCATCGCCGTATACTGCTGCATTTTAAAAATGAGGAAGTGCTGCGAGGGAAAGTAAGAATTTTTTTTTTTCATGGTTAAACAGTTTCTATGGGAATTTTCAGGAGTAAATGCAGTCTTTGTCAAAGCTGTTGTTTGCTTAGCAAAAGAAAAAATTATCTGTTCTTTCAGAGGAAGTTCAAAAACCTATTTTCCTACTAATAGATAATACAGGTGATGCTGCACCATGAGTAAGAAGCTACTCTAATGCAGCTGAACTGGAAGAAGGACACAGCTGGTGCACAATCTTGCAAACTGGCATACATATAAGTAGTCTTACTGATTTCAGGTAAGTTAATTACATTAGTATAATTGTTCATAAAGCAATATTAGCTAAGATTTTAAAATGTAAAGTCCTTACGTGGAAGCTTCTCCTGAAATTCTGCATGGAGAGACACAGGTCTGATCTAAATTAAAAGTGTGCTGTTTCATAAAAGACAACTTCCTTCTTCCCTTTTCCTTACTCTATGTATCTGAGTCTGCACAGATGTATTTAAAAAAATTTATAATCACATTAACAGAAGATAAGGTGAAACCTTTCCTATTAACATAATTTCCATGAAAGTTGAAGTGAATTTTTATTAAACTTTGACTCTTGGAGGATGATTAATATAGGAAAATAGTCTATCTACGTCAAAACATAGTACCAGCACCCTGAGTACACCAACAGGCCTTAATGGTCCTGAGCAGCCTCCTGCGGGACTTCCACCCACACCCTCTGCCCATGGGACTGGGATGTTAACTTTAGCTCAGGCCTTATTCACTGCCTGAGCTAAACCTAGGTGAATCTAGCTCCAGTTCTGTCTCTGGTCCTGTCTCCTGGATGGACTTTGGAGTCATGTTGTAGCCTTGTCGCCAGTCCTGTCTCTGATCCTGTCTTTTTTGCTCCTGACTGGACACCCTGGATGAACCCTAAACCTTGTTCATCACTTTATCTTGTTGATGGACCCTGTTACTAGGATCCTGCTATGCTTGCTGTGTTCAGACTCTGTGGGACTGCACCTTGTTGGTAAGGACACTGATTGCGCTGGGATTACCCTTGCCTCCCATCTCCCATTCCCTCAGGGAGCAGCTGGCCCTTGCTGCTCCCTGAAATACAGCTGGACAAAATCTGAAATTCCAGTTAAGAAAATTCTACCAACCATTTCACAAACCTTGATTTCATTCAACCAAACAAATTATGGCTCTTTCCATAACAGTATCACAGAATCACAGAATGCTTTGGTTTGGAAGGCACCTTTAAAGATCATCTAGTCCAACCCCTCTGCCATGAGCAGGGACAGCTTCCACTAGATCAGGTTGCTCAGAGTCCCATCCAACCTAACCTTGAATGTTTCCAGGGATGAGGCATCTACCACCTCAGCTGACTATCCTGTTGAGCTGTTAAGACCAGTCCTTGATATGGTTTTGACTAGTCAAACTAGCACTTTTCCAAATAATTCCCAGGTATGGGAATACCAAGAAATTAGCATTGAGCAAAGATAATTCACAACTGACACTTTTTGAGGAGGCATTTTGTGTTTTTCTAGTTTGTCTCAGTGATAGAGAGTGATTTGAGCATATTTCACTTACTGCTATTTTTGTAGACTACATGTACCTATTGCACTCAAATTCTCTGTATGTATGCACATTTATATAGCTTTTCTCATGTGATAAAGGCAGTCATTTCCTTAAAAATATTCTGGTGAGTTAATTTGAACACAGACTCAATAAAATAGTGACCTTGATCAAGAATAGTGTCTGAATAGACTCACGAATCTTCAGGGGTAATGTATTAAATTCTCTCAAAGGCACATTTTAAAAATTATTCTCCCTCCAGTTCCGAAAGTTGTATAATAGATCTGTTAAGTTTAGTTTCACACCAATGCAATGACACCAGTGCCATGCCTTCCAAGCTCTACAGCAGAATTTAGCAGGTAACTGTTCTGACAGTAGAATTTACCAAAGATTTACTGTATTTTTAGAAGCTGTTGCTCAAATTAGACTGATTAGATATATCTGGATCCACACATGACAGTGAGTCAGAACAGTTCTGAGAAGAGGGTGTTTAACATAAACATTTTTAATTTCTCTTTAACAGACAGATTTTGTCTTCTACTTATAAACAACATGCCCCTTTATTTCATAAGCATATTGTTATTACGTTAACCATGGTTATGGGATTTACCAGTAAGCATCTAATAACATATCCTACAATGACAAAAAAGGAGATACTTTATCTGGGTTTTCATTGTTGACCGACTGATTCACATTCAGATTACCAAGTTATTTATAACATTTACAGTCATTGTAGTCAGAGTTATTTTTAACTGCATGTATTATTTTATAGAGGCATATGCATTAGTATTTTGTGATTATTCCTTGTCACTGCAGTAAAAAGTCTTTCTTGGTGAAGGAGAGGAAATAGATAAACTCTATAAATTAAATAACTGCATGTTGGGGAAAGACTTTTGCTTTGTGTCATCACGATAATCAAAATAACAATAGGCAAAAGCAAGCAGGAGGAGTTTCCACCCTGTTCTGGATGGAGTGTATCCACTATTTTCAACTCAAAGTAATCTTAATAGACTGGGGGGACAGACTGGCAGGAACTTCATGAAGCTTAGCAAAGGCAAATGCAAGTTTCCATACCTGCAGTGGAATAACCCTATGCAAGAGTAAAGGCTTGGAGCTAGCTGACTAGAAAACAGCTTTGCATAAAAGGATCTAGGGGTCCTGGTGGACAAGTTGAATATGAATCCGCAGTGTGTTCTTGAAGCAATGAAGGCTAACTACATGCTATGCTTTAGAAAAAGCATAGCCAGTTGATTGAGGGGGAGTGGTTATTTCCTTCTGTGTGACATTTATGAGGTCGCATCTGTATCCAGATGTAGTCTCCCCTGCACATGAAAGGCACTGACCACATGGTGCAACCCTAGCAGAGAGCTGCTAAGATGATCGGGGACTAGAGCACAATATGAGGAGATGCTGAGAAAGCCGGGTTTGTTCAGACTGGAGACAAAAAGTTGAGAAGATGGAGGTAATTGCAGTGTTCCACTACCCAATGAGTGTTTATAGAGAACACGGATCCAGACTGTTCTTGGAGGTGCACAGCAAAAGGATGAGAAGCAATAGAAGCAAGTTAGAGCAAAGGAAAATTTAATTATATGTAAGGTGATAATTTTCATAATAAGGATGGTCAAACAGTGGACCAGATTGCCCAGAGAAACTGTGGAAACTCCATTCTTGGAGATACACATTCACAATTAGAATGAACAAATTTCTGGGCAACCTGATCTAACTTGGGAATTTGCTCTAACCTCTAAATTTGTCCTGGTCTTAGAAGGACTTCGGACCTCATTGCTTCTGCAGTAGCCTTCCAACCTGAGCTGTTCTATGAAGCTGTTTAATACCTTCATCAATGACACAGACAGAGGGATTGAGTGCACACTCAGCGGATTTGCAGATGATGCCAAGCTGAATGGTAAGTTGACATGCCTGAGGGACAGGATGCCATCCAGAGGGACCTGGACAAGTTTGAGAAGTGGGCCCATATGGACCTCATGAAGTTCAATGTGGCCAAGTGCAAGGTCCTGCACCCGGGCTGGGGCAACCCCTGGTATCAATACAGGCTGGGGGATGAAGGGATTGAGAGCAGCCCTGCTGAGAAGGACTTTGCGGTGCTAGTGGATGAAAAGCTGGACATGAGCCAACAATGTGCGTTTGCAGCCCAGAAGGGCAACTGTATCCTGGTCTGCATCAAAAGAATAGTAGTCAGCAGGTCGAGGGAGGTGATTCTGCCCCTCTGCTCTGGTGAGACCCCACCCAGAGTATTGAGTCCAGCTTTCCTGTCCTTAGTACAGGAAAGACATGTACCTGCTGGAACAGATCCAGAGAAGGTCCACAAAAATCATCAGAGGGCTGGAGCACCTCTCCTATGAGGACAGGCTGAGAGAGTTGGGGTTGTTCAGCCTGGAGAAGAGAAGGCTCCAGGGACACCTTATTGCGGCCTGTCAATACTTAAAGGGGTCTTATAAGAAAGATGGCAACAGAATTTTTATCAGGGCCAGCTGCGATAGGACAAGGGGTAACTTTTTTAAACTAAAAGAGGGTAGATTTAGACAAGTTGTAAGGAAGAAATTTTTTACAGTGAAGGTGATGAAACAGTGTCACAGGTTGCCCAGAGAGGTAGGGGAGGCCACATCCTTGGGAGCATTCAAGGCCAGGTTGGATGGGGCTCTGAGCCACCTGATCTAGTTGAAGATATCCCTGATTATTGCAGAGGGGTTGGACCAGATGATCTTTAAAGGTCCCTTCCAACCCAACGATTCCATGATTCTGTGAATCTATGCTTCTGTGATTAATGTAGGCTATTCCAAGATTATTTTTTTCTATGCTTCATATTTATTTCTATTTTAGCAAAACAGTCACCTAAGCTTTTTCCAAAGGTTGAATGACCCTAGATTTTCCCCTGAATGAACATTACTGTTTAATTTATTTGTCTCTTCTCAGGAAGAGACAGTCTTAATCCTCTGGTTGTGGAGACTAATGCTGATTTAGTGGTATAACTCAGCAAAAAAATGTGCAGGGTAAAAAGCTTTTAAGTCAGAATGATGTGACAAACATTCCAGCTATTCAGGGCAGCATCCTGGGACTTACTCCTCTGCTAAGGTAGAGCAATAATAACTGAGCAGCAGCACTGTTAGAATTAGGATATAACTGTAGTTGAGCAAATCCTTTTCCTCATTCCTGCAATTCAGGATGACGTACACAAGAAATTATCAAAAGCACATACTAAATTAATATCTCATATATGTGGTTACCTTAGAATTGCAATAAAGCTCTTCAGATCCTCACGGGACAGGGGGACTGTTAAAGGAAACAACTTTCTAAAGAACTAAAATATGGCACAAAGAAATATTAAGTCAAGATATCGGGAAAAAAGCCTCAATTTTTTAAATTGAATTTACTCACGTAGCATCTTCTTTCCCATCATTGAGCTGACACTGTTCCTGTTGAATTGCCTTAGCTGGTTCAGTTGATTTTTCAGGTTTTGAAAGTTCAGGTTCTTTTGCTGGTACTGTATCTAGAAAAAAGGTTTTAACTTTTGAATAACAGTTTTTATAATATTATGACAATACTTTTGGAGTAATCACAGCTTGGCTGCCATTATTTCTTCAGTGGACAAGCACTATACAACACTCATTCTGCACCTGACCTTTGAATAATTTCCTGCAGAAATCTATTTTAGTGCCAGCTGTACAGAACGTGTTTATGATGAGTGTACCTTTTAGAACATGTAACTTATTTGTGGTTATTAAACTAGATGCATCTATAGCCAGTTCAACAATGGGAAACACAGAGCTCTTCTATATTTATAAGTGACCAGAACTTATGCAGTATGATAGAGTTTCAGTGTGTGCTTATTAAAAAAAATATGGAGAGGACAGATAGATAGATCTGTCCAGAAATGACTTGTGAAAAACAGGAAGAAAAATGAAGAGTAGCTTATTTGCTTACGCATAGCAAATGCTAATGTCATTATTTATACTCCAGTGTTTGAATTTCATTGAACCTTTTGTTGCTTCAGCTGACATGACAGTCCTGTTTGTTGCTGAGTAAATTACGATTGAAATATATCATTAAGGATGTGAGTATGTAGAACTTTGGCCGGTCTATTTCTTCATTTTTGTTACAAGTAACTATTTTAAAGGAGTTTAAGTGGGAAGTTTGTAGCATTTGAAACAAACTCTATGCAAATGGAATAATCTTTAGCCATTTAAATGGCCTTATGTGATTAAGTTTTACAATTAGTCCTATATCTTTATTTTAAACTTTCATGCTGAAAGATAATTTGAAAGCTCTCATCAGTCTGACCCCTTGCATAAAAGGAGAACAAACTCCGTCTTCATAAATACTTTAAGTAATATGATTATAGAGAAAAAAGCTTGGCAGCAAAACATCCTAATAAATAAATCAGGATCCTGTTGTATACGCTGTATTTTAAATTCAGGACAGTTCAAAGAAAATCATACCTTGAGTATTTTGGATAGATAGTGTAAGATTAGTTTTTTGATAGTTAATCTCCATATTTAGAAAGTTGTTATTCATTTCAGAGGAGTAAAAGCAGTTATAACAGTAAACTGTTAAGCTCCTCAGCTGGAAGGTTGCTGCTTCAAATGGCATTGAAACAAAACTTAGTGAAGGACAGGGGGTCAGTTTGTTTACAGCACTTGATAAACCAAACTATGTTCCTACCACCATTTATTCAGATTTGGGATATTTTCTTCCAAGCATCTATTAAGAACAGACACAATGTTTCTTGAATTGAGTTTCAGACTTTTGCCAGATGGACAATTGATTACAGGACCAGTGGGGTATTTCTGGTATTTTTTCTTAGTATTTAGGTTAAGAAGCAAGAATGTCCTGTGTGAGCCCTGCTACTCTTACAGGAATTTGTTTCTTAAACAGGATCATAGACAAGACCTAGACAGAGGTATCTGTGGATGCCAGAAATACTCAAGCCAGAGTTAGACAAGGAACAGAAGAGAGGGCAAAGAAATCCATGTTCCCCAATGTGCTGGTCAACTGGGGTTTGACTTAGCAAGTTTAGGGGTTAATTTTCAAATTGTCCCTTGGAGAAATGTAGCACTATTGAGTATGAGGAGATAGTCTGAAGGATTTGTATTACTTATCATCTGTAAGAAGGGAAGATTTTTGTGAGGAACTTCATTTAAAACTCTGACATTCAATTGGATTTATGGATTCAATTGATAACAGTATCTTGCCCACTTAATGGAAATTATTGTTTCCTTTCTGCAGGAGTTAGCATGGCAATACTATCTTAAGGAAAAGTCTGTTGGCAATATAACACTAGGGAATGTTTCATCTTACCTGAAGGATCTGCCAGGGATTTTCAAGGTACAGAATAGGACACATTCAGGGAAGCAAGTACTCCAGAGGACCGTTGCTGTTCCTGTCCCCAGGAAGGTTCAAGCAAGGATGAAAGAGTTTACCATTTGATTACAGGCATTCAAAATGATTTTCTGGGAGTTCCAGTCAAAAAGACTTTTTTTTTTAGGAAGGAGGAATTTTAAAATGGGTTCAGGCTTCTAGTGCAGTGGATACATTCTCACAGTGAAATAAAGTTTTTTTCTCCTAGGAATTTCATAGACATCCTCTGTAAGAAAATCACAGAGGAGCTGCAGTTACAGAAAAGAAAGTGGGTTTGGAACTATTTAAAACTGACTAATTTGTGGGTTTTGCTACTGAACCTTAATCTGTTAAAATTCTATTTAACCTTTTCCCCAGGATCTCTACAAGTGATGCTACTGACTCAGTGCTTTCTTTGGCACACAATCATCCTGTGGTTTTGTGGTCAACATGATATGATGTAGAAAAGAAGAAAAGAAGCCAAAAATTTCAGCATTTGCTGTGGCTTCTGCTCCCTTGTGAATCCATGGTTTGTAGTTTCCCAGTTCTCCCTGCCCTGACTCCCCCAGCCAAAAAGCCGTGTACTCAAGAGTGACAGGAGGGCTAATCTCAACATTTCTGTAAATATCTCACTTTGGGAATTTTCTATTTTATAGTATTTGCCCCTGGTTACATCTATACCAGCAGAGGAACAATCAAAACAGTGAAATGATGCTGAAGGCCTGACATCCAAGCTATATCTGTTTGAAGAGGCTGTATTTCAAACCAGGTCTATTGTAATACTCTGAAATGAATGACCATCAGCAGCTTGAGTAAAGTAGGTTGACTCATGGAGTGCTTCCTCTGGTTTAGTTTTATTCGAAAGGAATCCAGTCATGTATTGGTAGAGGTTTTTTGGTGAAGAAACAGAGGACAGTGAGGGTCAATCAGGGGATTTGGTTCAGAAAGGCATCCTTCATCTGAAATAAAATGCCAGTGTAGACACACTATTTAGACTAACAGGCTCCTGAATAAGACAGTCCATCTCTGGAATGACAAGATGTGTATGGGAAGGGATGACCACAAAGTAAAAAAATAAGGTGATTTCACACAAGCATTCCATCTGCAGAAAGATATTGGCTTCTCAGCCTGCTAGATACTCTCAAGGTATTCAGTCTGAGGTCTACACCCACACAAGCCATTAAATGCTGACTGGACTCAGACTGATGGAAAACACCGATCTCCCATGAATATTCCGAACTTCCACAAGTTTTTGGAGTACATAAATCTCCAGGACCAGCACACATCTTATTTACATTAAGATTATGATATCATGGCCTAGCACCACTTCCAGTTGTGTTTCAAGTTTAGTTGCTTCTTTCTGTGTGAAATTATGAGGGCTGTCTCTGTAGTCACATTTAAAAAACCTTAGTCACTCTTCACTGCTTAAATCTACCTCATACCTCTCTGACTTATGAGACCAGCCCCAATGGAATGCCTTTAAGAACAATGTGGTAGTCATTTTAGGGAACATTTAGAGTACAACAGTTGGTTCCTAGAATAAATAATAATCCATCAGGTAGATGGCAAGGATTACAGGACAACAAAGAAATCTTCTATTGGCTTTACATAACTTTGGTCACGATAAAGAAATCATGAGCAAGAAAAAGGTGGCAGAATTATGTCAAGGCACCAACATCCAGAGCAATTTTCAAAACAGATTGATTGGTGCTTACTTAACAAAACAAGGGATTTGAGGTGTTTCTAAATTATTTCCATTCCCATTATATTGGCGTATAGGTAGTTAAAGCTGCCAACGTATTCGTAGTGGGAGTTGAGGAATGAAGCCCACTGGTGTCTACATATTCTAGATCATTTGGCATACTCATAAGAATAATTTCAAACTGGGTTGGGATAAATGTTGCTGGTTCTGTTTTAAGATGGAAGGGGAAAGTGCCAATTGTGGAAGTATAACTCTGTGGGCAAAATACTGTTTAATGGAATCCCTCAAAAAGGTAGTTGGTTAAAATGAGAGGCCCACTGAAACCTCATCATACTGGTGATCTGTCTAGGACAGTAAGGAGCAAGGAACAAGATGCAGCTTGTAAGACTGATTTGTTTTCCTCTCAGTGTTTCAGATTTTTCTCATTTTCCACAGGTCTTTGTTCTTCCACAAGAGACTTAGTCCAGGCAAAAAACTAATAAAAAAAGGCTATTGGTGGGATGTCAGTTTTATACATGTGTTAGCCATGTTAACGATGCTCCCAGCTGACGGTTAGTGTTATTAAAACTTCATTGTTTATTCTTGTCCCCTATTTTCATTCTTCCAGTAAAATAACATTGGAACAAGATTGGGTATTGCAAGGCTAGGTTAGAGTAGCCAGAAATTCTCTGCATGTTGGAGGAATACATTCAACTTATTCTGAGGCTGCTCTACTCCCTTGTTTCTGTTTCTATAAAGCAGTTTTTATCTTCAGTTTTCAATTCACAATTTTGGATGGAGACCCTTGACAGTCTTTTCAAATTTGTTTGATTTCTTACTGAAACACACTTGCAGAATAGCCTATAGCAGAGTATTTCATATTTTTGCTGTAGAGCAAAAAAGAGAATACTTTGTACTTATCTATGGGTTTTAAGCCTTTTTCATTGATAATTTAGGTTTTTTTCCTCTGCAACTCAAAAGGATGAAGGTTGGTTTTATAAAACTGTGTAATAATCACATGCAAAAAGCAGAATATTGTGAGGCTAAGCATAACATTGGAAGAGCTGGCAAAGTTGGTTTTAGCTTAAACCTGCTCATGTAGGACCAATTCAACTGTCATGTTTCTAAAATTTAGCACTGTACACACTATCTTAAAATTGTAGGCAGTAGTGTTAAGGACCTTTTTCCACTGAGGAAGCTGTTGGTATAGGCAGATTTGTCAATGCTAGGACACAGCACTGCAGAGTTGTCATTCTTGCCATAATAATTTTGGTTCTTCTAAAGCCTTTGGTCTTAAGTGGATGTAAGTATTAACAGATCCAAAAATATCTGTCATAGGCCTAGTCCCACAGAGGTGTCACTGACTTCTCTTCTGGCGATAGGCAATGTCACCAAAGGACTCTAAAACCTCGTGGACCCACTGAGATAATTGTTATTTTGTGGCCATGAATATTATCATGATCCTTACACCT